ATTCATCTTCTAGCAATTTTCCTTCTTGAACTAAGACTTGGGGAATTTTTACAATTAGGGGATGTGTAACATTGATGGTTAGTATCATTATGTACATATTCTTTTATAATTTGCAAAAAAAGATCTATTCAGTATAATAGATTTTTAAAAATCAAGGTTCACCTGAGATTTCAGTTCAACTCGGGTCCTCCTTCCCTGTAAACTACTAAATTTATAATCATGAGAACCCAGAAAAAACTGGACTTAGTTACTGGTAATACTTTCAGTTATAACTCTTTTTCTTATTACTTCGTTTTGTTCCATCAAAACTAGTAGTTATTCTATACATCAGAAGTGGAATTAAATATTTAGGTTGAAACATAGGAAATCGGTGATATTTAACTACATTTAGACCTGCAAAAATGACAATTTTATATGGTTCAATCTAATAAAACTGAGATACAATTTATGGATTAATGGGTTCAATATCTTAGCCTTTTGCTTTCATGGATTTACCTGTCAGTTTTAACCTTTCTGCTTTTCCTCAGTTACGAAAAAGCAAATGAAGATAAAACACTGCTAAATGAGGCACATGAAAGTCATGGGAAACCAGCCAAAATTCTTGCTGAAACAATTTTTTATTGATTCTCCACACAACTTGCAATAAGATGAGGGTCATTTTACATGACACATATGTCTGAGTGAGACAGGAGTCTATTTCCTTTGTGGATTGGAAAAGTGCACCGGTGTGAATATTCACCCAAAATACACAAGCGATGAGAGGTGGAGGATGAAGGGAAGTGGAGCACGAAGTGTGAGGCATACCAAAGACAGTTCTTGCGGGCACAGACTCCTTATTAATCCAGAAAGACACCTGGGAAAGAATGACTGTCATAATGCAAGGAGTATATATCTGTATCATGAAGTAGCCCATCTTCCTTTGCAAGTGGAAATAAACTGTCATTATTACATATTCACCTGTTGGAAGACACGTACATCAGTATTATTATTGCTGACAGTGTGCAAAAAGAATGCGGTTGAATATAAATCTTGAAGATTTTAAATGAGCATGGAATGGAAGAAAACAAGCAAAGGCATATTTCGATGTATGAAATAGCTACTTGATCACCAGGTGATAGAGCAAAGAAACACACCATTTCATTGTTTTCGGTGGGGTTCTTTGTGTCATATACATATAAAACTACCCATTTCAGGAATATACAAATCTTTACATGCACCCAGTTGTGCGAAATCAATTTGAAAGAAAGCTACTCATCACTTCAAAACAGCATGCTTAGCTGAGACTGGCTAATGTGAAGGAAAAAGAAATAAATGTTTTGAAAATGTACACAGGGGTCACCTTGCAGGATGACAT